GCGTTTTGATTTTTACAGTGTACGAAACTACTGCACTTTGCAAACCCAGAAGAACAAAGAAGTTGAAAGAAAGAGGGAAAATAAATTACAAGTTCTTTAAGACCACCAATGAAATCTTTGATCTAACAACATAATTCTCTCCTACATTTAACACCAACTACAACTATGAAAAAGCTCGCTACTTCACAAAGGGCCTTCTAGGACAAAACCAAGAAGACGGCGCCCAATTTGTCCCTCCATTCTGAAGCCTTCTTGGGTAAGGGATCACTTCCAATGCACGCACCTGATCCCAAATCGAACACAAATGCCCAATGCTGTAATCCGTGATCCTCATGTTCATTGTTGCCGCGGCGCGCCAAGTAGTAGACATGATTCCCCTTGATCGTAGGAAACTCCATTGCAGAGAATGCGAAACATTCGCCATGCCCCAAGAGGAGAGCATGATCACCAAGCCTCGTCCCTCTCTTTTCCGGGAATACGCAAGGAGCGCATCATTTGTATTAAGAAGAAATAAAGTTTATGTAAAATGCAGGCTCGTCACTCTCTCATGGATCTCAAAATGTTACGGGCAGTACATCAAAATTTGTCCACTTGCCATCTTGGAATTCACATGTCACATTGGATTGCGAATTTCTCATACCACCGCAAAACTCAAAATCTCGACCGTATCTCCAATTCCTCCATACCGTACGTCGAATTTCTAGAGACACGTCTTTGTCTGGTACTACACGTGTTACAATGATTAGCTCGGCATTCCAGTTTATTTGTTGATAAAAAGAAAACTCAAATTTCAGTTCAGGCTTCAGAAAAAACCCAACTCCTCACCAATGCATAGGCTGCATAAATTCCTGAGACAATGAGAGCTTCGGCATTTGTCAGGAATGGGATTTCACTGCTGCTTTGTGGCTCAAGCTCTTGTGATCTTGCTAGTGCTAGTTTCAGACTCGGCAACTGCTGGCAAGCAGCAAGTGCAGCAACCTCGTCCTCATGCCGCCTCCAGCAACACTTCGCCGGCGCCGCCGGAGCGGCCTCCGTGCTCCGGCCACCGCTGTCAAGTCCCGCCGGCGCCGCCGCGGTTGGGGCTTGTCTACAGCGACCGTAGGGCGCCTCCATGCGCACGCCGATGTCCGCCTACGCCGATTCCGAATCCGAATCCGAACCACCACCCGGCGTACGCATACCTATGGGCTATGGCCACATCCGCTGCGTCGTCCATTCCCGATTAGCCTTGCGCCGCAACCGCCGCCGCCGCCGCCGCCACAGCTCTTGTAGTCGCCGTTGCAGGTTTGGCCGGGCCAAATCCAGGATCTTCAATCAGCAAGGAAGCTAGCTGACGGATTTGCTGCTGGTTCATGCATGCACTTCGGTTATTGCTAATTGCTAAATTTTGCTTTCAGCTGATTTTTTTTCAGACTTTTTGGGGCTTTTTTTTTTGTTTTAGAAAAAACGTGTTCTAAGATCACCAGGTGTGCCGTGTGCAATCCCTCAAAAATGTTTTCTTTAGACGGACAACGGTGGCAACTTTGGTGTCATTGCCTTCTTAGAGGAGGCGTTGTGTAGGAAGTCTTTTTCCCCGTCTTTGACTTCTTCTCTTTGTCTGGTCGTAGACGGTTCTTGGTTGTCGTCATTAGGTTATCGTAAGAGGCGAGTGGATCTTCTTCTCTCTCGTCCTCTCCCTATCTCCAACCCCTCTACACGAGGATAACTAGAAACCCGTCAATGATCTTCTAAGCGGAGTCGGTGCGCGGGAGGCGTTTGTGACCCCCTTTAGACCTAGCTGCGTTGGGTCACGTGAGACTAGCTGCCAACGTGCGGCGATGGTGTGTTGTCTTTTGTTTTTCCTATTTACGATCTTCCAGTGTTGTAATCATGTAATTTTTATATGTTATATCAGTACGAAACTTCACACTATCTTGTGTGGGTCGTTTGAAAAAAAAATCACCTCACTTGTATCAACATCTCAGGTGATTAAAATTGTGCATCGATCCTTGTTTAGATGGGAGGGACTAATTTCACTAAAATACAAGCCTATATAGTAGTGACTAAAATTTATGTGAGAGGGATTAAAATTAGTATGGACTTATATTTCTGTGAGAGGGATTAGTCCTCCCATCCAAACAAGGCCTTAGGAATAGGGCACATAGGGATAGGTGACAATTAGCATATACTCCAATGTATAATCACATCTTAACTATTTTCTGCATCCTTCAACTGAGCCTTCCAAACCTATTGAAGTGGCCTACTTGGGGGCAAATCCTCATTTCAGTTTGATTTTTACCCAGCCTTTGCCTTGACAAACACACATGTCTCAAATAGTGTGCATCACATAATTGTACTTTAATCCTCTCTTCACTGTACTAATTTCATATAGTACATAAGCACCAACTAAACTAAACCATCGATTTAAGGACTCTCTAGGAATCTATTTAGGAAAACATAAGATTATGAGAACCAACGGGTTGGTAGCCAGATTTTAAGAATCTGAAACAAAAAATCTGACTTCTAGTTCATATAACTAACAACTTCTTTGAATCTGAATAAAAAGGGCCTCTTTGATGCGCAGGATAGAAAAAACACAGGAATTAAAGTAGTAGGTTTCTCAAATCCTACAGGAATCAGCAAACACAAGAAAGGCAATATAAGTCCTTTGATAGTGTTCTGTGAAAAACAAAGGAAAGTTCACAAAGAGGTCACACCGCTTGCTAAATGTGAAGAATAGAAATACAATCCTATGAAAAATTTTCTTTCTTTCCTATGAATCAAAGGGACATATAGGAAAAAATCCATAGGAATTTAAATCCTATGAAAATCCTTCGCCAATCCTATAAATCAAAGGGAGCCTTAGATTCTCAGAGAACCTGCAGTTGTCAGAAACTACACGAAACAGACCTTAAGAACAAAGTACAAGTCAGCTTGTATCTGCCCAAAGGATGGTCGAATCCCATATTGTGGAATACTCCCTCCTTCCCAAATTAATCATCATATCGTGAAACCTAAATTTTTTTAAATTGATCATCATATAACCGCATGAGAATGTGGCATGCTAAAGAGTGTAATTGTGCATTATTTTTTAATCGACTACAATTAATGTTTAATTGATGCGATTTAAATTATCCCTGATCTTGGTACATAAATATTATAGGACAATTAATTTGGGATGGAGGGAATACTTAGGATTTGAACTTTCAGTCCACCACAAACTCAAAATGTTGGCCTTACCTCCAACTCCAATTCCTCCGCTCTGCAGAATTTCAGAAGAAAAAAAAATGTCTTCATCCGGCACTTCACATGTCAACAGTGTCGGTAGGTGATTAAAAAAAAACTTAGATTTCACTTCAGAAAATCCAACTTATCAATTATGCATAAAGCCCCATATGCCATCCAGGCATTGGACTCGGAATCATCCCTCTGCAGCCAGAGATGGGATTCAGCTGCCGCTTGGTGATGGCTCGAGCTCTGCTCCTGCTCATCCTAGCAGCGCTAGCTTCGGCCTCGTCAATGGCTGCCAAGAAGCAGGGGCGACAGCCTCGCGGCTGCGGCGGCCACACCTCGACGTCGCCGACGCCGGAGCTGGAGCTGCCGCCGTGCTCCGGCCACCGCGGTCAAGCCCCAGCGCCAGTGTTGGGGCTTCTTGGCCGGAGGGGATCACCTGGAGCTCCGCCTCCGCCGCGGTCACACCCGCCGGTATCATACGTACGCCCACAGCCGCGCCCGTGGCCACCGCCACCGCCGCATCCGCAGCCTCCATTCCCGATCAGCCCGGTTGCGCCGCCGCCGCCACCACCGCCGCCACCGTGCTTGTAGTCGCCGTCGTTGCAGGTTCAGTCGGATTCAGGATTTTCAGTCAGGAAGGAAGCTCAAATGATTTGCTAATCTGTTTCGGGCACTTCGGAACTATTGTAAATTCTTTGCCTTTTGGGGGTTCAAGATTTTCTTTTGCTCATTTCAAACTTGTTCGTTCTAGATCAGCTGATGTGTCATGTACTCGTGTGCAATCTCTCAAAAATGTTCATGTACTCAGGTGCAATCTCTGTCCTCCTATAAATATGAAATTGGCACATCCTGTGCCGGTTCGTTCAGAAAAAAAATAGTGCAATCTCTAGAAAATGTTTTGCTCGTCTCACTTGGTCACCGCAGTATTTCGAATCTGAAAAGCTGGAATTCTTATTTTTAAATTGGAAGCTCGAATTCTTATACTCTAGGATATGCAAATTGCAAAGAACTCACTGGTAGAGTATCATTCATGTGCGCGCTCGAATCGCAAGACAAACAAATTCAGGTCAACCATCGAAAGTTTCAGTATAAATTCAGTTTGAGTTCAGCAGCCGCCGTGCGCCTGCAGTCACAAACTGTTCTTGGCTACGATGAGGCTGTTCGAGCTCATCGCCGGAGTTGCCATCCTGGCTGCTCTGTCCACCACCACCTCAAACGCGCCATCGCCGGTCGCCGTGGCGGCGGGGAGGGCGGTGAGGGCGCCGCCGTCGCCGAAGCCGGCGCCGCCCATAAGGCCGCTCTTCCGGGCGCCACCACCACCTCCGGCGAGGTCAGTTCAACCAACGTGTTCGTCAGCGCCGCCACCACCTCCGGCGAAGTCAGAACTAGCTATGAGTTCGCCGCCTCTCGCCGGCGAAGTCGGTTCAACCAACGCCTCAGAGCTACCATGAATCCGTGATCTTTCGTTTACTTTGCAACTCAACTTTTTTTTTTCATGAGAAACTTTGTAATTTTAATCTTTGGTAGTCTGGTTATCAAATCATGTTGTCCGAGATGTTTGTCATGTTGAGATCTTTATCAACGAAATTACAGATCCAGATCACATAAAAACCGTCCACCAATCCACAGCTCGAAGAAAAAGTTGGCGTTATGATTTTGTAAAAAGAATCTAGAACATACAAGACCGAAGAACAGAAGTTTGGCGTTCTGATTTTGCATGCATAAAAACGAAAAAAAACATATTAACAGATCAAAAAGAAACTAGGGAAGGGTGAAAGATTAAACGAAATGTTCTTAAGACTACTAGACAAGCTTCAGCGAGGGAAAGCAAGCCTACCCTCTCAGCTAATCTGAAGAGCAGAAGAATCACTCTCCGAGCAACGCAACACCTCCATTGCCATTGAAATCAGACAAAGGGGCTGCCTGAATCATTGCTCGTTACCTCTGAATTTCCTTCCATCGTTTCTCCTCCAAACATCACTCGCTAATACTACGAGATACGAATACGATGAACCGAAGCAAAGAAATCATCCCAGAGCAAATCGAAGGAAGCAAAGAAACAAGAAATCGAAGCAGAACCGATCGAAACTTCGATCGAATCGAAAGAATTGAAAAGCAAAGAAACAAGAAATCGAAGCAGAATGAATCGAAAGTAGATGAAGAGAGGCTGAAGAATCGCAGGTAGCAACCAGATCGAGGATTGGCGGCGGCGCATCGGCTGTGCTCCTGATCCATCCGCGTCTCCTTCGAATTTATAAAGGCAGGGAAGGGGGACGGAGGAACCCTAATCTGAGGGTTTTAGCTTGGTAGGAGATCAAGTTACGAGAATACCCTTGCGGTGTGATCTGGACCGTACAATCCAATTTGACGGCTGAAACTGAGCGAGGGGGTCTCGTGCGAGGGGATAAGTTGTCAGCCCGTTAAATAAGATGGGCCCACGGTTCAGGATGTAACAGAGTTAGGCCCATGTGATATTGTTTGATTTAAAACGGCCCAACAAAGGCTAGCCCAGCCCAATGCTCAGCTCCTCTGGCCTTCCTATTTTCTGGTGGAATAAGTTCATCTGAGGTCCCTTAACTTGTCAACGAATCCGATTTTCGTCCCTCAACCGAAAAACCAGATACAATTAGTCCCTTAACTATCAAAACCGGTGCAGATTAGGTTCCTCGGCGGTTTTGAGGGTGGTTTTGGCTGATGTGGCGTCTACGTGGCTAATTTTGACTCGGTCTTCATATGACGTGGCGCCTACGTGGCAATTCGATCCGAAAAAGATAATAAAACCCATGGGACCCACATGTAAGTTTCGCACACAAATTAATAAAAAATGGTGTGGCCCACGTGGGCCCTACATTTCATCCTCACCCCTCCTCTTTGCACTGGTCTATGGTGGTTTGGCCTCTTTGAATCGCAGGAATGGAAAAACGTAGGATTAGAAAAAACGTAGGATTTTGATAGGAATGTAAGTGTAAAACAGAGGATTGCAAAACACAGGAAAAACACAGGAATGGCCGTTTGATTGGACCGCAAGAAAAACATAGGAATTAGAGGAGAGATAAAGACTCAAAGGAAAGTTTCCATGAGGTTCTATCTCATGTTTAGAATTCCTCCAAAATTTGCATGGCATTAGGCATTCCATAGGAATTTGATAGGATTCCATAAGATTCATTCCTTTGATTTAAAGGGCTATATCGGAAAAATTCCTATAGGAATGAAATCCTCTAAAATTCCTATGAATTTCCTTTGAATCAAAGGGGGCCTTCGCAGGGTAGAAAAAACGGAGGAATAGGAAAAACACAGGATTCTGACAGGAATTGAAGTGTAAAACAGAGGATTGCAAAACACATAAAAAACACAGGAATTGTCGTTTGATTGGAGCACAGGAAAACCGCAGGAATCGGATGAGAGAGATAGACTCAAAGGAAATATTCCAAGAGATTGGAGCTCTTGCTAAATTTCCTCCAAAATCCACATGCAATGTGCCATTCCATAGGAATTTCATAGGATTTGGAAAGCTTCAATCCTTTGAATCAAAGGGCCAAATAGGAAAATTTCCTATAGGATTTGAGTCCTATGAAATTTCTACATAAATCCTTTGATTCAAAGGGGCCCATATGAATTGAAATCCTATGGAAAATTACTTGGGTGCTCCTTTGGGGAAAAAAAGAGTGAGGGCCCCTTTGAATCGTAGGGTAGAAAAAACGGAGGAATAGGAAAAACACAGGATTCTGACAGGAATTGAAGTGTAAAACAGAGGATTGCAAAACATAGGAAAAACACAGGAATGGTCGTTTGATTGAAGCGCAGGAAAAACGTAGGAATCGGATGAGAGAGATAGACTCAAAGGAAATTTTCCAAGAGGTTGGAGCTCTTGCTAAATTTCCTCCAAAATCCACATGCAATGTGCCATTCCATAGGAATTTCATAGGATTTGGAAAGCTTCAATCCTTTGAATCAAAGGGCCAAATAGGAAAATTTCCTATAGGATTTGAATCCTATGAAATTCCTACATAAATCCTTTAATTCAAAGGGGCCCTGAGCACTTGAGATTCCTATAAAATTTCTATGGAATGGTTTGATTTAAGGGAATTTCGTAGGAGTTTTAACATGAGGCTGGACCTTATGGGAAACTTTCTTTGGTTCCATCTCTCCTAAAATTCTTTACTTTTCTTGTGGAGCATCCAAAAACCAAGTTTCACATAATTCATGCGTTTTAAAATTCATAAGAGTCTATTAGATATGCCACCTTGATTCCTACATTTCCCTGTTTATATGTTTTTTGAATTTCCGCGTTCCAAAGGAGCCCTTATAAAAATGAATCTACTTAGGGCATCCACAATGTGGTGTAAAAGTAGTCCATAAGCAATAGAATATTCTTTTCAGCCACCAATTGCTATTATGCAACTAGTCCATATAGAAAAAATAACAAAAGGTATCCATATGCATATGGACTACCTATATGGAATAAATTATATTATCTATCTCTACTCCTTTTCTTCTCCTAATGATACCTTGTATCCATATATATTATATATTGTGGAGATTGCTATAGGTAAAAACTATTTATGTGGGTCCTATCTATATAGATCACTTTGCCATATTCATTGGTGATGCCCTTACCGACAAGTGTGGCCCCTTTCCTGTGTTGGGATAATGTTCCCCTGGACAAGGCCAAACACAAAAGAACGATATAGGAGGAGTAGCTCTCTTTTTTTTTTCGCTCTCCGGAACACAAAAATATCACTCTGTCCTTAAATAAATGTAATATCAGGATTAAAAGGAAGATTAGTATTGAAAAAAAATGATATCCTCATCAAACTTTTTATAATGGAATAAAAATCTTAGCCTCTTCATGACTGCTTCATGTGATTAAGATATAGATTTTACATCGGTTTCTGTCAGCATATTTTTCAAACTATCAAATGGTATATTTTATGTTTAGTTTGTAATAATTAAACTCAATTTAATGGTTTTATTCTTTTTCGTGCCCTAACTTTGTCTTTATCTTCGGTAGAAACAAAACCACCATGCAATGCACCATGCACACAGCCGATGAGGCGATGATCCATATTAAATAGGAGGTTGTTTGTGGTTAGGGCAGATAAGAACAAATTTAAATGAATGGTGGTTGGACGAAAAAAATTACTTTAGGATTGCACTTGCTTTAAATAAAATTTAAATATTATAATTGTGCTATTTTTTTTAATAAAATTTGAATATTAGAATTGTGCTAGTTATTTTATGACGGAGGAGTAGGATTATCATAAGGCCATGCTCTTTTTAACTTTTTTTGTAAATATTTTATCACGGATTATTTCCACGCTTCTGAGATTTTATCATGGATTATTTGCTCCACGCTTCTAAACTACTTGTGAAGTTTATTTCTTAAAATATTAAGTTATTGCGTTAATGAAGTACTCCCTCCGTCTCAGAAAAAACGAATCTAAGACTAGGTATGACATATTCTAGTACAATAAATCTGAAAAAAGGTACGTCCAAATTCGTAGTACTTATGTTACATCTAATACTAAGTTGATTTTTTATATCCAATACTAAGTTGATTTTTTATAGAACGGATGGAGTATAAACAATCTATCTCAATAGTCTATAAAAAAATCAGTTTCAAATAGGGCCTTCAAACCCCATCAGGGCCATCCCTAGGGGCGTGCGGCCGCATAGGGCCCCCAATTTTCAGGGCCCCCCTAGGCCTAAAACTTCAACACTAGATATACAACTTAATAAGTAAATTGGTAGCCTAACTAGTCCCGAAAATCTGTTGTTTTTCTTGTTGTTTCGGCTTCGATTATGCCTTTGCCAGTTCGCACAGTTGCCCCGGTTTGCAACCTTGAATCGCCTCCCACTGTGGACCTCGCCAATCGCCAATCTCAACGAACGAGAGGAGTAAACGACGCCTCACCTCTTTCTCTCGTGAGGTCCCACCTAACGCTTGCGCGCCCCTGACCTAATTCTTTTTGTAATTTCTAATCCGGTATTCCCTAATTTTGGATTATCATTTTAGGCCATTCTAGATTGCTATGAAATATATTACGGAGTATAAATTATATTCATATTATATTATATTATATCATCAATTAAGTTTTTATCCTTCACTTTGCACAGGGCCCCCAAATTTAACGGGACGCCCTGAACCCCATGTAATTTGGAACCATGCTATTATAATTTTTTAAAGTTTGAGATATGCCATCGGTATCTCAATGACATGTAGGACCTACATGAATCAATGACATGTGGGTCAGGATGGCATATCTCAAATTTTACAAAATTATAATGGCATGGTTACAATTTTCCCTAAATTCTTCTCCATAGTCCTCCATTCCAAGAGCCCTTGTGCTTTTTTACATGTTCTTGAACGTAGAGGGCTATCAGTGATGATTGGTGAGCATCTCACCGAGTCACCGTCAAGGAAGATGAGATGCGAGGGTTTTCTCGACATGTCATATTGTCACGGTAAAGTCGCCAATTAAAGAAGATCCTTTCGATCGCTCGCTTGCACTCAATGCTAACCCAAAACGTCAAACCTGCTGTGTACGATCGATTCAACCGGCCAGCTGGTTGGTTCTCCGATCTCAGCTGTTTACTTCAGTTTTAAGTACATTTCACGAAATAAACACTACTCCACTTAACTTATATATATATATATATATATATATATATATATATATATATATATCACGCCCTGAAGTTTTTTTTGCTTTAAAATTTTGTTAAGTAAATCGTCCGGAGAAATTGTTCTAATTAACCTAGAGTTGAACCCCTAATTAATAAATACATTTAATAATCGAATTCGGCGTGGTGGAATTTTTCTTGAGTTCCCCATGCTGCAATACATTAACATGATTTTTAGTGGAATTTTCAGAGCCTTGGAAATAATTTTAACCAATTAAAATTGAGCAAGTGCAATATTTTTAATCCCAGGAAAATCCTTTTTCTCTTTTTCTTTTCTTTTCCCTCCTTTTTCTTTGTTGGGCCGTCGGCCCATCCCTCTCCCGCGGCCCCTCCTCCTTGTGGGCCGGCCCAAGCCGCCCCTCCCTCCTCTCTCGGGACGCCGACAGGTGGGCCCCACCTATCGGTCGTCTCCTACCTCCGGCCGTTGGAGCCGGAGCTCCAACCGCCGCAGCCGCCGAAACCGCCACGCCGCCGCCGTTTCCCGCCTTCTCCGCTCCACGTCGCGCCTCCCTTCCGCGCCCACACCTCGCGCCCACATCGCTGCCCCTCCCCCGCTCCTCCCGCCCCACGCGCGCCCGAGAGTGGGCGGGGTTCAATTTGAATCCCCCTCTCTCTCTTCCTCCCCACTCCCCCATGTCACCGGCCAAATCGGCCACCTTCCCGGCCACGTCCGCCCCCTTCTGCACCTTTAAATCACTCCCCCGAGTCCCCTCCCTCGTTTCCCCCATTTGCCATCCTCTCCCACGCCCCCTACCGCGCCCGCGCCGTCACACCCGAGCTCCGCCGCTGCCGCCCATCTCCGGCCGCGCGCCGCAGCCGTTAGAGCCGCCGCCGCGCCGCGCCATCGCCGCCGTCGCGCTCACCGAGCCCGTCCGCACCTCGGCCGCCGCTTGGTTGCCGCCGAACAACGCCGGAGCCCTTTTCTCCTCGCGCGCTGGTGAGACCTTCTCTCCCCTCCATCTCCGGCCGGCAATTCAAGCCGCCGTGGTCGCCTTCCCTTCCCCTAACCCCTCTCTGCTCTCTCTTAGGGTGCCGCCGTCGCCCGTCCGCACCTCGGCATCGCCGGTCGTCGCCGCCGTTTTCTTCCTTCGCGCCGGCCGCCGTGCCCGCCGGTGAGGAATCCCCTCACCTCCTTCCTTCCCTCTCTGCCATGAGCACCGCCGCCCTCCGCGCGTGCGCCGTCATCTTCGGCCGCCGCCGCCGCCTTCGCGCTGGCCGCCGCCGGTCACCGCCGGTGACCGCGCGTGCCGCCGCCGGCCGCCATGGCCGCCGGTCGGCTTTGAAGCCGAGCCGAGCCGTGCCTAGCCGCCTCCCCCGCGCCGTCCGATCGCCTTTGAGGCCGATCCGGACCGTCGGTCCCGTGGACCGACGGTGGACCACCCGCGTGGTCCCGGTCTACGGTAGACCGGCCACCTTGTGCCGCTGCCAGCGGGGCCCACTTGCCCGAGCCCCCTCTCCCTCCCCTTGTGCGCTGACAAGCGGGGCCCACCTGTCGGCGCAGCCGCCCCCCCTTGGATGACGTCAGCCCTGGGTATTATTGCGCAATAAATTGATTAAGGACTTTTCTTTGTTAGTAAAAACACAGTTTATCTTCTAAAATTCATAAGTAATTCATCCGAGCTCCGTTTAAGTCCATTCAAGTCTCAGTAAATTCATAAAAATGCAAAGAATCCATTAAAAATGGTTTTGTTTCCTGTTTCAGTAGTCTTATAGCATGTTTTGCTTGTGTGCTTTGTTTGTCGCGTAGATTTCGGCCGTTTCGTCGATCCGCGGTTTCTTGAAGACGTTGCTGAGGTCTCGTCAATGTGAGAGCAAAGCAAGTCATGCTTTACATTTGATCATATTGTACCCAATTTACAAACACCCTGCATTTCTATTAAATGTTGCATTCTTTTACAATGTCATGTGGGATGGGTCCTATTACTCAGCCATTTATTGTTTACCATATGCCATTGATAACTTGGGTATCAAAATGATTAGATGTTGGTTTAGGAAATGCTTAGCCATGCTTAGCTCAACTAGTACATAAAAAGGGATCACATTATTACATAGACTTTGTCTATTAGCATAGTTTTGGATTGGTGCCACCGCAATGGTGTTAGTTAATTAAAATACACTGAATGGTGGGCTGTGGGTGTATGGTTTTGCTGGTCGCACCCATGGCAGTTAAGGACCGGTTCACGGGAAACCCTGGGAGACTTACCGTGCTTACCACAAGCGGGAGTGGGTAACTGCTTGATCTGAAGTATAGCTCGACCCTTTCCTAGGCACCGGTGGCGAGGGTGGGCGTGATGGAGTTGGGTCGGCCGGGGTGTCAGGTTGTCTAGCTGCCGGATTTACCGCGGCGCAAGAGGGGACCGCCCACTGCCTTTTGAGGGGTGGGGGTGAAACCTTAGCGTGGTGTGGATGGTTAGGGGAGGGTTATGTGGAGGGTCTTGTCACGGTTTCCCCCTTTGCAGTATCATGGTGATACTTCGGGGCATGGCGATATGTGTGGAATCGTGTCTTGTGGATACAGTTGTACACCTCTGGCCAGAGTAAAACTATTCGAATAGTCGTGCCCGCGGTTATGGGCAATCAACCAGATTCACCGTGATTAGTCTCACCCTAGTTTAGCTTAATGAACTGGTGTAGTTCAGGTGGTTGGTTGGGCCTGTTGCAACGTGGTGTAGCGTTGGACAGTGATTGGTTAATATTGATTAATTACTACAGCTGTTTTACTGCTTTCAACTACTGCTTTTAAATGCTAGCTTTATGCAAAAGAACCCCTAGCCTCCTTTGGTTATATCCTGCATCATACCTCCTCTTCCGGTATGACTTGCTGAGTACAGTGGGTAGTACTCAGTCTTGCTCTCTTTTCCCCCCACACCAGAGCTGAAGATCTTTCTAGTTGGAGCTGTCTTGTTGAAGTTGGTTTTGTCGCTGCCGTCAAGGATTGCCTGTGGAGTGGAGTCGCCCCGCTGCTGAAGTCAAGCTTCCCGGTTTAGCTCGCTTTTATCTTTTCCGCTACATTTGTAATCTTTTCTATTTTTGTAAGACGTGGATCTGTATGTCAACAATTGTCGTTTGTGTACCCTGGCTGGTCCTGGACAGGGATTTAATGCATATTCAGCTTAGAAATTCTGGTTCGTGAATTTCTGGGCGTGATATATATATATATATATATATTGAACGGAAAATAGCACTAGAGTACCTTTTCATTAAATAGAGCAGGAGAAAATATAACCCCTAGGGGCAACAGGAAAAAATCGAGGAAATGTAGCTATACACTATAGATAGTGCGGGATTAACTCGCGTAGCCGCTTAGCCCCTGCTAAAGCCCAAAGACTAGCCTCTTCTTTGATTTTTGACAGGAGGAAACTCGTTGCCACCTATTTGTGGTCAAAGATTCGCCGATTTCTCTCCTTCCAGATTTTCCATACAACTAGAAGGATGAGTGATCGGAGTCCTTTCTTCAGACCATTTGGTGTGTTTGCGATGTTCTCCCACCACTGTTGTACTGACTGTTGTACTTAGATATATATTTAATCTCTAATGAAAACATATATTTTTTCTCTCATCTGGCTTGCTAGACTAATAATGTTAAAATATAAAAAGGTCAAGAAAGAAACCCGTTCGTTTTCGTCCATATAAATACCCTTGTTTTAAGTTTTCTTAGATTCTTATAATGTCTAGATGATGATAACCTTGTTTAACCGTAAAAACCACGTCCCGCGGAATTCTAATGAGAGACACGTGTCCATGTTCCATCAGCGCCCAGTGTTTGACTCTCTATATCCAATCACATTCACCATTTCACCGTCTTTCATGTCTCGAAAGTCGAGATGAATCATGAGGAAGACAGCAAGGAGACGTATGGGTATGGTCTCTTGAGGCGATGACGGATTGGACGGCATCATATTCGTGTAGTACTGGAGTAAGAGAGTAGGTAGTAGACTATTAGCCAGCTATAAGCGTATTTTAATGAGATAAAAATAAAAGATAAGAGCAGCGGCTACAGATTTATAGTTAGCTACAGCACGAATTATAAGACGCAGTGTGTATAACAGGTGTGAGCATATATTAATAATATAGTAAGTAACTACTCTAGCAACAAACTCAATGCATGCATCATCCCACTACTTCCTCCATCTATTTTTGATAGTCATATTTCTAAATATAAAAAAATTATTTTTGATAGTAATATTTCAATCCAACAACCTATCATCTTAATGACTTTCTCGGATTTAATGCGTGACTCTCCGTTCTTCTACACAAGATTGGCTGCATGGGCATCGAGAAATGTAAATATTAATAAATCGCTTGTTTACGAGGAATAACTAGTAGCATGTTTAAATGGATGATAAGTAAAATTATTTATCCTTAATCTATGTGCCAAGATGAAATATAACTATCAAAAATAGATGGAGGGAGTATTTCTTAGCCAATAGCAAATTAAGATATTGCATGTGAGTTATAAATATTTATGTGTATGGATGCATGCATCAATGTCCATTTACTCCAATGCACAAATAACGAATAAATTTAATGAATGAACACAAATATGTAGATCATTTAGGAATAACTAAAAATTTAGGAATAACTAAAAAAACTATATGTAGATCAATTTAGAATAAAATAAAGGGAGTATTATATGAATTGGTTATAAATAAATTGAAGCTAGTAACGAGCTATAATATTTAACTTGCTCTAATTAAAACAGTTTCTGTAGCCGTACACCGAGTCACCGACACCTCGATCGCGTGCCAGGGCAGCCCGGCTTCGGTTCATTGAACCTGGACGCCTTCTCGTTTGCTCCTCGCGGCTTCAACCGGCAACCCCATTTCCGGCCTACTAGCTGTATAAAAGGGAGACCCAAACTATGAAGACCTTCCCGCTCTTGCGACATTGTACATTAATGTGATATATTAATTGTAGTGTAAAAGATGACGAGGAAGGTGGCGGCCATGGATGCCAAGGAGGCGGAGGAGGTGATGAGGAGGAACGCCAAGCTGGAGGCGGCGGCGGCGGAGGCGGCGGCGAGGGAGGCGCGGCTGCGGCGGGAGCTGGAGGCGGCGCTGGCGAGGCTGGCGGTGGCGGAGGAGGGGGAGGAGCGGCTGTGCGTGCAGCTCGGCGAGCTGGAGGCGGAGGCGATGGCGCAGGCCGTCGAGTACCAGCAGCGGGTCAGGGAGCTCTCCGACCGCCTCGCCTTCGTCGACGGCATCCTCCGGCCGTAGTCCGGCCGCCGCCGCCGCCGCCGCCGCCGGCGGCGGCATGGATTGACTGACCACCTGCAGGTTTCAGTGAATCATTGCTCGGTATCGCTAGGGTGTGTGTATGATGAAGCATGTACGGTTTTAATTTTTTTCCTTCTTTGTTCCGATGGAGTGAAGAAGTTGTGTGTACTTTGTGTGTTTGTTGTGTTTTGGGCAGTAAAATTTGTAAAAGTTCTCAAATTTTAGAGAAATTTTACACTACATTATACTGCTGTATGTACTACCATTATAAAAAAGAACATGTTTAGAATTTGCCACTAAAAAGGTATATTTAGTAATTTTTGATTCATCTTCAATTCAACTGGGTAGATGGATAGATCTGTACCATTTGATCATTTATATTGACTAAAAAAATACCCGTGCATTGAAACTGATTGAATGCTATTTTAAGCTTATTATTGTTATATGGTTTAGCTAGGGTAAAATTCACTGTGGGAATTCGTTTGGTTTTTTAAAGAAAATCATGAGCTGCAATTAGGAGTTCGACTTTCATTTCAATTTAGTATGCAGAATTTTTTAAAAGAGATTTCTTATATGACTCCTTATTTCCAAAACCAAACGAGGTTAAATCCAACTCTTTGTTCTTTGTTCTTTTTTTTTTGTTGTTGTTGTCACTAATTTCGTTTGCTCATTTAAAACTTGTTCTAGATCACCTGATGTGCCATGTACTTTTCGTGTGCATATCTACGAAACATGTTTGTGTACTCATGTGCAGGGTTTCCTAAACCATCGGGGCCAGGGTTACCGTGCCCCGGCGGTAAGCACGGTTACGGCCGCGCGGTAACCGCGGTAACCGTGAAAAACCGTACGAAACCGTGTAAAATTTTTCAAAAATTTAAATTACTTTTAAAATTTATTTGAATTTAAGGAGATAATCGTGGTTTTTCTATTACCGTACCCCCGCGGTATGGCCAGTAACCACGCGGTTACCGATGGTAATGTAAACCCTGCTCATATGCAATCTCTGGAAAATGTTTTGCTCGTCTCGCTTGGTCACCGCAGTAGTTCAAATCTGAAAAGGTGGAATTCTTTTTTTTATATTGGAAGCTCGAATTCTTATACTCTAGGTCTAGGATATGCAAAGAACGCAGGAGATAGGTGCCGGTTTTTCATCCGGCACCAATACTAGTAACCGACATCTATATGAAAAATAGAACCGGCACCTTTAGCATTGCTCGAGCCAAAAAAAAAAAGAGAGAGCCAGCTCAAATCCGAGCTGAATTCACCCAGCGCCGTCACCGTGCATGCGCCCATCCCGAAATCCCCAAACCCAAAATCATCCACAAATCGTCACCAAAATAAATTGATATCACAGAATGAACATATTCAACAACAAATTCATCAACAAATTCACAAAATAAAACATCAACAAAAATTCTAGCTGGATGGATCCATGTCGATCTGAAGAGAAGAAGAAGAGATTGATGGCGGTGGCGGCGAGAGTAGTGGAGGAGGATCCATATCTAGAGAAGAGGAGGAGGGATCGTGGAAGGAGGTGGTGGTGGAGGGAGGTGGCTGTGGCCGCCGCAACCCGTCGCCCACCGCTCGCCACCCGCTGCTTGCTGCCACCACTCCCGCTATATTCGGGGGAGGGGAGGGCGCCGCCACTGCCCGTCGCCCGCCGCCGCCTGCTGTCTCCCCTCTCGCTGGATCTGGTGGAGGGGAGGGTGCCGCCGGCACCCGGTGCCTCTCCTCATGCGCCGCCGCCTGCTGCCTCCCCTCCTGCCGGATCCAGCGGAGGGTGCCGCCGCCGCCAGTTGCCTGGCGCCTCTCCTCATGCGCCGCCGCCTGCTGCCTCCCCTCCCGCCGGATTTGGCGGAGGGGAGGGTGCCGCCGCCACCCGGCGCCTCTCGTCATGCGCCGCCACCTGTTGCCTCCCCTCCCGCCAGATATGGCGGAGGGGAGGGTGCTGCCGCCGCCCGTTGCCCGCCGGCTCGCCTCCAGCCATCGCCACACGCGCGATAAGTGAGAGAGCCGAGAGAGAGCCGAGAGAGAGAGAGAGAGAGAGAGAGAGCAGATAAGGTTGACTCATATAGGGATAAGGCCGATGCGTCACCGCGTCGGGATAGATCGGCTCGGCGGCTCGGCTCGATTTGGATAGGTGCCGGTTTATACTATAGGTATCGGTTTTAAAGACACCTATAGTTTCTTGAAAGTTCTGGTTTTTTGTATTTTCAGTCCGTGTGGAGGAGGAAAAATCACTATAGGTACCGGTTTTAGCTGTTCTGGCACACCTATAGTGCCGATCTCTATGAGCTTTTTTTTTTTAAGTAGTGTCGGCTTCGTCAGCGTCCGCCGCCCGGCCGGCTCCTTCAACTTCGACGGCACATGGTATATATATACACGCCCATCCATGTCAATGCACACTATGTTTTGTTCTTGGCAATGGCCGGCATTACATGATTGATTGCTGCATGAATTGAATGTGCTGCTCTCTCTGATCAGCTGAAAGTCTGAAACTGCAATGTTTAATTTGATTCAGGCTGTGTTCAACTACGGCATCGGCATCCACCTGCTGCAGGCAGAGGACACGGAGAGCATGCCACCCAAGATCTCCTTCACGGTAACACCAGGGAGACGTGGTTCAGCGTCGACAGCGGCAGCGCCGCCACCACGCCACCGCCGGCGGCCGCCGGATTCACGCCCGTCGTGTTCACCGTCTTCTTTCTGTGTGTCAGGGCGATGCAGAGCCAGGTCGCGATAAGGGAACATTGTGTCGACGGAGACGTAAGGAGACGCTACGACGACAGGCCAGACGTCCTCCACCGCGGTGTACTCCATGATGGGAGGTAGGGAGAAGGAGAAGGGGAGAAGAGAGAGAGGAGGGGATGAGGGTTGGAAGTAGGCCCACTGACATGTGGATTCCACTATTTTTTAATTTTATTATTTGACTGACATGTCGATCTATATATTTTGTTTTATTTTTGAAATCATTAAATTTTGCTTCATGAGCCACGTCAGATAATATCCTAATCAAATTAACCACGTAGACAAAACCACCGTCCAAAATAGGATAATATATTTTATATTTTCCAGACAAAATAGTACAGATCAAGTTTTTATATGCATGACCGCTGATACTAATAGGTTATTACTTTGCCATGGATATTTTTCTTAAAGTTGTGGCTTGCTACACAAAGTATGTCTATATGTCTCCTCGAATGTCAGGAGTGTAACACATTTATACCCCTTTAGCAAAGTTAAACGACAAATTAAGTGTATGATGTTGATGTGACCATGGCTACTATGGATATAACCATTGCTCACATCATATATGAACAAGAAGACATCAAGATCAAGGCCTCCAAGTGTCGGAATACGATTTGGCCACAAGATGCACCATTGATTTCAAACGGCCATCAAATCTCCATACGAGCTTCGTTTTTAGCCCGTGAGTACTTGATGGAAAGCTCTCGGAATCCTCTTTCCAACGGATTCAGCTTCATTGCGAAATTCCATCTCAGTGAGCCGCAATTGAAGCAACAAGATGCTGCATCACCTGTAATGAGTTTATAGGCTTGTAACTTCGTCTTGGACCCCAACCCAAGTGGGGCCCATGTGGGGTGCGCCCCAACCAGGTGTAGAACGACCCTTGGCACCCCTTGGTCGTCCTCCCACCCCTATAAATAAATAGGTACCCCTTCAGGGTTTCTTGGGTTTTGTTTAAATGAAAGTTTAGCCATTGCTACTTCCTTGCAGCGCGTGTCGGCTAGACCATCCATCTTGTTGTATCCGAAACCCCAACTTATCGTGTGTATTCATTCCTATTTGCAATTCAGATTACTTTTATCTTGTTCTTGCTTGTTTCTTCGATTTGCTTGCAAGAATAAGGTTGATCTGCACCGGCAAGATCAACAACTCACGAAGAGGTGTATCGATCGCAATGGCGCAACACAACGTCTTGTACGGTTGTAGTCGGATCATCAACGTTTCTCCTAAATCATAGTTATCGTCAACTCATCGAAAGAACGGGCCAAACAACAGCCTTGAGTCTCAAGTGGAACTTAGGGTTCATCAGGTGGTATCAGAGCTTTCGTTGCTCGGTGAGTTTTTTTTTTCTACCCATAACCAGAAAATAGCCATAAAAAAAGAATTGAATCCTTTACCTAGCCATACTTGTGCCATTGCATTGTTCTTTTCAGTTTTGCTTTGTTGAATTTTGTGTTGCATCATCATGTCGTGTTGCTGGTCTTAGCGTCTAGTTCGTTTAGAGTTTCGAGTTCTGGTCACATTTTATACCAAAGTCGTCGCCGCCTCCGTGTCTCTGTTGTCGTCGGGACCTACGAAAACGGAATCAGCTCGCTGCCGCGGTTCTATTTTCGTAGTTTACAGAAGTTTTTGTTGGTTAGTTTTTGAGTTCTTGAGTTGCATAGCTTCTGTTTGGTGGCTGTGCCGTGATGGTGTGTGCCGTGATGGTGCGCCTGTGCATGCGCGCGTGAGAAAGATGGAAGGAGAAGATTAGATTAGATTGGATATTTGGAGATCGGTTGATTTCTTGTTTTAGCGCACAGTTTCCAAACCGTGTTTCCGGTTTCCATTGAGTCAAAGTCCCACACGTGCCCAGTCCCACCTATCTGGCCGAGACTATTAGTCGGACTCCCTCCTCCCTCTCCAAATCACGTTATCTCTCACTTCAGAGTCGTGTCAAACAATTTAGTGAAATTTTGTTTTATGTCGGTTTTGAGATCTGTTTGGAAAAACGGAACCGGCATAATTTGAGCATTCCATTTTTGTATAGTTCTAATTTTGGGTTTATACTTTTACACGTGAGTCCTCATAAGTTTTTTATTTACATTTAAGTCCCTGTAATCCTGCATTAAGATCCTTAAGTCATTTTTGCTGAAAAAGAAATAAAAAAAGTGAGAAAAGGCAGAAAGGTGTTAAAAGAAAGAAAAGCTGCAAAAAAAAAGAAAAGAAAGAAAAAAGAAGGAGAAGAAAAGAATGAAAAGAAAGAAGAAAAAGAAAAAAAGAAAAGAGAAAATTAGTTGTATCATTGGGATTTCTTTTATATATCGGAGCATGCTTGAGTTGTTTCTAGAGCTATCTTGTGGTATCGTTTGTGTCTATGCTCGCGTCTCTAGTACGTTCTAGCCTAGGACTAGTACGGTACTTGGCTTTGAACAATTATTCAACATTGCATTATCTAATTTGAGCATTTGCTATTCCTTTGCTACATATTTAAGCCTATCCAGAGCTCCACAGATTTAATTGCAGCCATACAACGAGTGTTTGCCAAGGCATTGATACATCCAACCTCCGTTGGGGTGCTTGGTTGAGTCAGTGTATGTC